AACAGGTCATGGCCTCTCAAAAGATCAATGTTGCCCTACTTTATCAATCTCAATGTTTTTTGTGTTTGGCATCATTATTTAGCTGTTTTTTTTTTAGATGCAAGTTTTCTGGTTGCTCTGCTCTTAATAGACTGAAACTCTTGGAGATCTTTGTTTAAGAACGCAGGAAGGAGGGTGTAACAGAGATCCATGCCTTCATCTCCTCCAGTGCTGACACGTTTTTCAGGAAGAGTCTGTGATATTTGGATTGTAATGTTTGAGCTGAATGAGTGAGGTCTTGCAGAGATGTTATCGTTGAAGCTGAAAGGGAGGTTAGAGTCAAACTAAACACAAAGGCTGCTAAAAGAAGAGTAGGATGTCCAGACCACAGAAAGTGGTTGTTAAGGTTGAGCTGAGCTTAAAGTGCTTCAGATTTTGAGCCGTTTAGTTGCAGTAAGTCATGGTCCAGAAAAAAAGATGGTCAAAGGAACAAGAGAGAGGCAAAAAGTATCTTAAGTTGAATATAATTTGTATAAAAGTGGTGTGATACACCATAGAGACCAATGACCTGGTTAAGGATGGATCGTTAAGGGACCAACACTGTAATTTCAGCATTTTGAGTTTCATTGGAGATATATTCCATGTGGTTAGTGAGAGATAATGGAGGCTGATCTGGTTTATGAGGATCCTGTGAATATGGTGTTGGAAGTATCAGGCAGATCAAGGAGTATGAGGAGGAAGAATGAACCATCATTAGATCAGTCTTCACCATTCTAGAGCTTCTATATGAAATATTGGCATATTTCATATAGCAGATTAGCTTTGATGATTTTTTTCCCCTCAGATCTTTCAAAGGGAAGGTCTTTTGGGATTTTAGATAACAAACAGCCTGAAAAATAAACAGCAAGGGTCAAGACCACTGTTCTAACGGTAAGGCCTGCTAGCAGTTTGAATCAATCAGTGAGGAAGGCTGCCAGTTTTATTTCAAGATCCTTACGCTCAGCTATGTTTCATCAAAACAATTACCTCAAACACATCACATAGAAACACATAAAACGGGTCAAAATCAAGCATTCCAATGGTCCAAACCGTTAGGTCTAGTGTTTTTTTCGGACTAAACTTTAAAGGAAAAGTCCAGTCAGCAAGGAATAATCAATGGGTCATTATTAATACCTGAAACTAATATGTTTGTGGTGATTTAATTTATTTGCCGTTAATCAGCAAAAAAGTAAAAATAATTTTCGTTGCGATCACTGAGTCTGGGAGCGGCCATTTTTGCCCAAATATAGTAACATCTCACTCCTGACATCTTCCGGCAGTGATGTCATGGTGCGGTAAGCCTAGTAGTTCCCATTCTCCCCAATGGGAACTACTAGGCACATTTGCAATCAACAACAATTATTGAAGATTTCAAGACAGGACTTCACCATTGAAATTTGTGAGAGCTACAATTAAACTGACAATGCATGGCAGTTGGATGTTATAATACATTGGGTAAAAGTGGAAAAAAAAATTAAAAGTCACCTTTCCAATTCATGATCCTACCGACTGCCAATTTGAAGAGGGAGGATTTACCATTCAACTTCTGACGAGAGAAAAACCCGTAATATGTAACCAACATTTGAAAGAATAATGTTTTCAAGATTACTCGGATAATAGTGCGTTGTGACAAACACCAGATACAGCACTGGGACTTGATCAACACCCGATGCCGTGACGTCACGAAGCGGTAGTAGGCAGTAGTGTTCTTTGACAAACATGGATGCCTCCAGTAAAACACATTCAAATGAAAATTAGTCTAAATTAAAAACACTTTATTGAACAGTATGTAATAATTTCATATTTAAAGTACTTTCAGAACTTTGAATTCTGAATATGACCGGACTTTTCCTTTAAAAACTGTGTCCATTGAACAAAAGACAGTTTGAATTTACTCAATAGTCATGCAAGAAAAATGGAATATCCAGTCAGAATGTCTGCTTTCTGGTGTTTATTCAAGTTCTCAATGAAAACATAACTCTTTAGTTCTGCATAAACTGTTTAAATAAGGCCTCAGAGGACAGAAACTTATGACATTAATGTTGTGTTCGTAAATTGTAGCTCCGGCTGGCGTTTTATTTAATGTCAGTGGGAGCTATGATGCTATTGGTATAAACCCAGCTGCCTAGCCTGCATCAACTTTCATTGGCTCTTAGTTCCTTTATACATTTCATATAAAACACCCCACAATCACAGAGGGCTTCGAGTTTCCTTTATTTTCTTCACCACTTTTCTTTTTTTTTTTTGTTGTTGTCATATCAGCTACTACTCCAAATTTAAGCTGAATTCATTAACAAAAAGTTCAAAGTGACACTACCTCATGTCTCTTACAAAAGATATGGAGACAGTAAGTAAAATCATTGCATTACAAATCAATTGCATTACAATTATATAGCCAATGGTGGATGATTTAATACTGTTGTTGACATAGCGATAGCATCAAAAAACAGAACTATTGTGCTCATTTAAACTGTCAATGATTTCTCTGAAAGATTTATTATAATTAAGCTTTTTTTTATCAGATTGGAATAGATTTATTCAAAGCTTCGTCCTCCAAAGATATTTTTCTGAAAAGTCTTAGTTTGCTGACATTTACTCAGGAAATGGGGGAAATGACTTGGAGCGGTTCATTTGAAATCTATTAGGAATTCAGAACCTTTGGTAACCCTACCCTCTGCACACATCCATCAGCTACACACAGGTATTTTCCCTCCTGTTAAAGGCGAGAGCAGCAGGAGCCTGCGGACGTGTACAACAAAGCATGCTTGAGGTTTACGGTCACTTTGTAATGCTGAGACGTTAGAAAGGAGGCTAAAAAACACCTGCAGCAACACACAGAGAGCTCCTGCAGGTTCCAATCTTTTCACTGTGGAGAAAACCATGCTTACCCTCAGAGCAGCCCCGCTTCCCAACATGTAATCTGGTATTTTTCCCCTAAAATGCTCAAGTAGTCAGCAGGATCTTAATACGAGTAACTGTTTCTCTGTAATTATCCGCTCTGGACGATTCAAAGGGATTCTTGGAATTTAAAATCCAGCTTGTTTCCATGAATACTACATGGAACGCTTGCAGCATTTAGTTGTTCAAACTGATCCGGATGAACGGATCATCATGTATAGACGATCTGTCTTTGAAGTGATTCTTTACATCATCTTAGTAAAGTCCCGGTGATATAACCATTAAACATGTTTATAAATCCTGATATGTGAGAAAACGGCAGTCTTCAAAGTAAACCTTTTGTAAAAGAATACCCTAAATCCATACTTGCTGATAGAAACAGGTCCTAAAGGGTCCCCACTCCAACACATCTGAATCAGATGGCTGAATCCCTCATCAGGCCTGGTAATGCTTGTCTTGGGAAAAAAGTATTCAACTATTCATCCTAGTTAAATAAACGGAGATCGATGGATTTCACTAAGTCGGCACATTTATTAATATCATTGCAAAGAGAGAACAGTCATCATGAAGCCCTTATGGCACAGCATTCTGCTCTGTTCTGATCTGGGCATTGTTCGTTCCCCCTTACTTGCAACAATGGAAAGTTGACAGAGTCATAACAAATTACACACACTTTGGTTAAACCATAACATGTTATGAATAAACCTTGAGAAAGAACCTGATTTGTTATGGGAAGAACCTATCCTGCAGAGAATTGTGTGGCCTTGAGAGAGAAACAGACTGAGTGAAAACTTTTATAGTGAGTAAATGGGATCAATTAATATATAATAGAAGAGATAAAAAGTTTCCGACAACATGCTCCTCTCATCCGATTCAGGTGTTGAATGAGGAATTAAGCAAAAAGTTAAAGGATGAAGGCACTCCAGGAATAGACCTGGGAAGCCCCCATCCATCATCATACACACTTTCATCTGTCACTTGCTTTCCCTTGTGTGGTTCTAGCGGGGTTTTGATCAACCAAACCTTTTGTTTTTTTTATTCATAAGGTGTGAAATGTCGTTCTAAAGAGACCATCATAGAATTTGAAGTAGGCTGACTTGGACTGGGTCAGCATATCAGCTACCACTTGGGGCAGAATGTCACTTTAGTTAGATGGAGTCACATTTGACTTTTAGTTTGGAATACAGAAGAGTTCATGGTTGACCTCATGACTGCGATGCACCAAAAAAAAACCAAACCATCTTCCCTCCCCCACCGTGCTTCGCTTAAGGAGTTGGCGTCCAACTTCTTTTTATGCTTTTCCCCAAAATGCTTTTGTACATTGAGGTTAAACATCTCTACATATATTCACAGCAGGACGTTTTCCAATAACTAATATTTACTCAAATGGAGCTTTAACTCCACTTTTTTTCCATTTGAGATGAAGTACTTTCACTTTTCCCAATCGACTAGATTTATTTCTAAAAAGATGGTTTCTTTTGCTGTTCTTTGACTCGTGTAATATTTAATGTTCCGTTCACTCGAGCCTGTAATAAGTGCAGTGTTCTCAGCAAAGTTGGTTAAAGGAAAGTTTGTGGCCACAGCGTGAGGTTACAGTAAAGTGTTTGAGAGTAAAAAAAACTGCTGCTAAAGCAGATCATAAAAACAGATTTTTAATGGATTCATTAACGGTTGGTTTATATCTAATTAAGCTTCATTTGGACTGCTGCTAAAATCCAAAGAAGCATAAAGTGTAAAACTACTGCTGGTTCACATAAGAGTGAGGATAAGGTGATGGGTATGAAGCTTCTGGTGGTTTTATTAAGAAATAGATTTAATTGGATTATTGGAACCACTGTTCCGATGGATTCTGCAGGAGGAACCTGCTTATTTTCAGCAGACCGGTGACTTGTTTGGTTCCTGGACCAAAAAAGTTCAGGTTGGACCAGAATCGCCCAGAATGTCAGCTGAGAATCTGGGCAAAAACAAAAGTGAATGAAGTGAAGGAGGAGGGAGCGCCAGGGAGGCAGTTTGTGGGAGGAGTAATTCAGAAAATGCACGGTTCTGCCCTCCTTCATCTGCTCCTCCTCCTCTTCCTCCTCAAACGGGAGCAAACTCGCCTCCTGGATCAGGATCGGACATTTGCGTGGAGCACCGCCGAGGATCGGGACTCTCTGCTGCCGTGGAGGCTGCTGAGATCCAACATCGGCGTTCCTTCAGATGATTTCAGGAGAACAAAAAGCCACCAAAACATTCCCCTTTCTTCTGCCACATCCCACCGGTTCCCTCCGCCTCTCCCGGTTCCGGGGAAAAGATTCTACCGCTTGGTTCGCGTTCCGATCCCGGTGCTGGTTCTGAGATCTCTGGATTGATTGAGAAGCGCTGCTGCCGCTAAGTTTGGAGCAGCCCGTTAGAAGGAGGAGGAGGAGGAGGAGGAGGGACAGAGGAGATCTGACACCGAGCACAGAGCTATATCTGTCCGCTGACTGCTGCAGGGAGCCGCACCGGAGCGCCACCGCAGGGGAGAGGGGATTTATCCAGGAAAGGGATTCACGGTCAGTGTCCTTCCTTCCTTCCTTTCTTTCTTTCTTTTTAATGCCAGCTGTTTTTCTCCGCGCTGTCTGCGTGCAGCCGGAGGCTGACGGAGCTGCTGCAGCCTGAAGTGGCCAATAGACGGAGCCTGGAGTGCGGCGGAGCGCCTGGAGACTCCGCGGCTCCTCAATGTCCGCCCCGGGTGGATATTTCAGGGCTGCCATATCATCCCTGCTGTCACACGCGCGGACGCCTCACGCGCTTTGCGCCCTAGAACAGGTGCGTGATAAATGCGGGGCAGACGGCGCTGGGCCTCTCGGGCTGTAATTTACGGAGTTATTTTGGGGCTCCTGAAGGCAGCAAACCCGGAGCTGTTGCGGAGCTCGGTGACCTCGCTGATCTCCAATGGTTCCTGTTTTCTATCCATGACGGAACCCAGAACGAGCGTAAACGGGCCGCGTGCGCGCGCCGGTGCGCATCGGGAGGGGGGCACTCGGTGTGTGCGCCCCCCCCTCCTCCCGATTCCTCTCACGTTGGCTTTGCCATGGAGACATTTGACAGGAGCGAGGACGGCTGCTGTGACCGGGGCGAAACGAGGACAGAAAGGAGTCCAGAAATCTTCTTAAGATCATTTTCCTTCATCATATGTCATTTTAATCCCACTTCCTCCAATATTTCTTAATATTTTGAAGCCTAAACAGATAATTTAGTCTTTATTTTGCTGTGGTCTGACTTGGGAGGATCTGAATGTGTCCTTGAGCAGTTTATGATCTTCAGTGGAATCCCAGTAATGGAACCAGTTATCTGCTTGGGGTTTTTTAAGCTCCTGACCTTTGGATTGGACTAAACTGTCAGTTTATACTCAAATTCAGCTCTTAAAATGTATCCCCTAAGCTTAAATAATTAAACTGCTGTTTATTGTGAGGATGGAGGGACCTGTAAGGGCCAATGTTTTGTCTGTAAAGAAAAAACTTTCTTAAATAATTCTGTTTTTTTTTTTTTTTTACTTGGTGAGATAAACATTAAAGTACCAGAATATTAATGGGGAATGAAAAGTTTAATATCCTTTTTGAGACCTTGCAGAAAGTTGGTTGCTGCAGTAGACCTTTTCTTCTATTAAGGCCCCCTTTGCAGCTGCATTGTTGGTGAAGCATGAGGTTTTCTCTCTCAGTAAACGTAAAAGGTGAGCATGCATCACAATGGTTTCAAAACAGGTTGAAATGAGTTTGCAAAAACCATTCCAGGTGAAGTTAAAACAAACGACACAGAAACTTGACCTGGATCTGCTTGAACAGAACCAGTAGCTCCTGAAAACAAAGGGTTGGGCCATTCAAGGACCTGCAGGAATTGGAATTTTTAGTTTTCGTTACTCTTTTGAAATCATGCTTTTAATTAATGAAGATAAACCCCTGAAGATGCACTAATTTACAGTACAAAAACAGAACTTTTGATGCCAGAATCTTTAGGAGGTTCATTTTAGCAGAGTGAAAGTTTTACTGCAGTACTAGCCCAGGAAGGATGTGGCGGCACACTGTGCAGAGCTGATTGGTAAAACCAGAGTTTCAGAATCTGTTCTGTTGCGGTGTTCTGCTGCTTGGTTGTGCTTATCTGACCTAGTTAAAATTACATTTACAACTGTAACCTTAACTGTGTCAGATATTTAAACCACTCTCTTAACCATGCTATGTTTTTGTCTGGACAGTTTTGTTTTGTACGTCTGAGGGCCATTCAGTACGGTTCTTCGAGCTGATTGGGTAAAACACCACTCGGTACCTGCCTTCCATGTGGAGCTTTTAGACAACAGCAGCAGCAGTAGCAGTTGCGACATATCACATTCTTCATCAAACAGTGGAGTTAACTTATAAATCAAACTTTTATCAAATCTGATCTGGAGAAATGTCCGAATTACTTTCCCATCTTGAAAGGCATAAATCACGTCCTTTTGCTCATTTTACAAAAAAGAAATTAAGGGATATACCAGCTAAAACCGGTGCAGCCTTGCTATTTTGCTTCCCCCTGCTGCTTCTGGTCGACGTCATATACGTCACTGCATTTCATTGTTATTGAACATTTCTATATCGAGGTTAATGCATCTTTTGGAGTTTGTGAATTCACTAATCCTGCGATAATTCATCTTGCTTACAAGGTAACTGATCCGGTTTTCACAAAAAGGAACAAATTGGAGTCGATTCTGTTCCTTAGTCTCACTCCTCCTCCCCTTCTATCCAAGCTCCACGCTTTAGATCGTCCAGAACAGGAGTTGTTATATTGCCAAAACTCTGTGGATCCTTGTTGGTGATAGGAAATGAAGGCAGCACATTTTGTTAAAGGCCTGATGTGTCAGGAGAGGAGGTCCAGATCATTTTAGGGCCAAACTACTGGACCACAGATAGGAGGGGGAAAAAAGCCATTGTGCTGGAGTATTGTTGACTGCCTGTGGTCTGTTTGCAATAAACTCAGATGTGATGATTGTTCAGTAAGTGTAATATTAATCTCCACTCGTATCATCTTTATCATCATCCGGACGCTCAGCTCTCTTATAGATTATGATGTCTAGCTGCTGTTCTGTGAAGATGCCAACAGGAAGTCTGTTAGAACCTGGAAAAATCAGATGTCAAATGTCTTAAACATTGATTAATAGTGGATTGTTAGAAATTGTCAAGAAATTGTCAGAAAAAAAAACTCTCCTTTTATGGTGCATTTAATGATTCATAAAAATCTGAATTTTCAGTGTCTGACCTTGAGTCCGTTATTTTCCCTTTATTTAATTTGCTCCCGGCTGCCCGGGCTCGACCCGCAGCAACTCCGATTGTGTGGGAGTGTCGTCCCTCTGAGGTGGGAAGTGTGAAAAAATGGGACGGTGTGGCAGTAATTAGTTCTGGGACATTAACTGCTTATCACTGGCTGCATTTATTAGCCAGTCTGTTTTGGCTGGTTAGCTTTTTGGACTCAAAGCCAAACGGTTACCTGGTCAGCCATGAAGGAATTCCCTCTCTACGCCAGAATCCTTTTATGGAGGGGGAGAGGGATTGGGCAGTGCCAGATCCTGCTTTTCCTAAATGATGGGAATTTCTCACCAGGACTTTATGTTGGTTTCTGACCTTAGAATAAGACCACCTTCAGCTGTTCAATTGGACATGAAGGGCTCCCTAAAAGAAAAAAAAAACTCAATATTTGAGCTTTGCTGAGAGCTTCTTGTAAAGCCCTCCCTGCCGCAGGATGATTGATCTGGTGATCAACATGATTTCCAGCTGCTTTAGCTAATTAAACACGCAGAGACGCAGCAAAGAGCGAACTTTCCCCTCCTAAAGGAGTCTTTTCATGGAGCCTGTTTGCTCTGGTGGTCGTGGCAACGGAGCCACATGTGGAGGAGTGTTGCCCGGTTTGCTGTGAAGGAATTCGGATTCTCCATTAACCTCAACCCGAGGGGGGGGGCTTTCACATGCAGCTGAAAATGTATTCTGTTATACACCCAGATAAGTAGAGAGAACCCACCTGAGGTGGCACAGAACCTGCAGCATCCACTGATGATGCTAAAGAGATGCAGGAAAACTGGGAATTAGACAGAAATCTCAAGTAAAACTGTAGAATGCGGCTTTCTATTGGACAAGGAAATATGCGAACGTCATAAAACTCTGTTTAAGTTTATGGAAGGAAAATGGAATGAAACCTTCTTTTTATGGTTGAACTCTGACCTTTTTGTTAATGACGCTGATGGAAAAATGAACACATTTTCTCCCCATCCTCCATCATGGTTTTTCTTTACTTTTCCTCATGATGTTGGTAAAATTCCTCCGAAATGACACAATGACATGCAGCTTACTTGAGAATTCTATTCTATTATCTTTTTTATGTTGTATATTATTTAAATACCTTCAGACTTTAATGATTTCTTTACTTTAACCCAAATTTGAAAGCCAAATTAATCTTCAAATTAATACGTACCTTGCACGACATAGAAACCTGCCCTTTTTTGCAGCCATTTTGAAATGAGTGTGTGTGTTGCATTGACTTGGACAAACTGGGAGCCATTGAAGCGTCAGTGGGGGTCAAACACAGCAGGATGAGGAAATGAGAGTCTAGAGAAGCCGACATGTTAAATCTGACAGCCAAACAACAGCCGACCCACTTCACACCGACCCTGTTGCGTTTGTGTGTGTGTGTGTGTGTGTTTCTAACACTAACACAGGCGGAGTTGACACAAACGAGACGAGAGCCTCAGGTTGCACAAAGGCTGCAGGTGTGAACGAGTCAGCAGCTTTTTAAAATAGCAACTCGGTCTAACAGATCCAGGATCAGGGATGATCTCAGTTTGCTGCGACTGAAAGCAGGAAAACACAAGAAGACTGTAAAAATGGAGAGAAACTAATACTGTTCTACAGATCCACCCCAGAAGCCTTCTTCAGTGTGTAGGTACTCAGCAGAGGATCCAGACGTCTCTACTGCAACATTAGCAGTGATCATCAGCAAACTTGGACTGATTAAAATCCAATTACTGATCATCCTGCAGGATTTCATTCATTGTTTATGTCTTTGTCTGCTTCAGCTCAATATATCATTGGATTTATCACTTTAGTATTCATATCATGGGGAACTGTTTGAGCATCATGCATTCAGGCTGTAATATTCATGGTGACACTTGGTTAATGCAGCATATTAGTCTTAGAAATTAAAGAGATGGTAAATTAAATGGTATCTTAAATATTTAATCATTGGAGAAACCTCCTGCTCAAAACACGCTGCTCAGATGGAAAAAAAATCAAATTTATTTAGTTTTAGCAGAGATCTAAACATCTGTTTGTGAACCCAAAGCAGAAAGACGAAACATTCTTTCAATATTTACATCACTCATCTCATATTGATGTTGCAACATTTTTAATTATTAGTTTCCCTATTCTTATACAGTCATATCTACAAGCAAATGAATGCATTTTCACCCCCAAACCAACTTGTTTATTAAAACTGATTAAAAGGGATATTTACAAGTTTAACTCCTCCTGGCCAGTAAGTGGCGCTCTCACTC